CCCACTCATTAAAAAATGAACAAAAATGCACCCCCCATCCAAAAATCCCCACAAAGTCCCATTTAAAATGTTAAATGAAAAGAGCCCCTCTCCCTCCAAAAAGTCCCATTAAACATGCAAATCTTCCTTCAAGCGATCCTCTGCATTTTGGCTAAACCCTTTCAGTCAACGGGCTCTTCCTGGGCCTCATCAACATCCAACTCTGAGTCTTCCTCTTCAGTGTCACTGTCCAGCGTTGTTGAGGATGGCTCTGTGTCAGGCTCAGAGAGCCTTAGGTTTGCCCGAATGCCAACCAGTTTTTCCACTCTCACATGTGAGCCTTTTACGAACCTTTGTGTGGTCTCATTAGCCATGCAGTAAGCAGTGTGCTATGGCATGGATATTCAAGTGTACTTGAATGGCATCTGTTTGTTTTAGTCAAGATTATGCTAAAATATACTTTCCCCAACTATATTTAAGTTCCCTATGAAGAGCCAACCTTCAATTTTGAAAATTCCCAGTTTATTCCCATCAATTCCCGTTAATTCCCGTGGAAAGATTCCATCTTTGAAAATTCCCGGAATTTTGCAACCCTACTCATATTGCTGGTTCCCTATAACAGCACACCTAGAGACACCAGATCCCGGGTCCCGCAGACAAACAGCAGGACGGATACAACTAAAGCAGCATTCAATCATCGACAGCCTCCTGCATTATGCTGAGATACTTGTTTTCTGTTCAGTTACAACATACATGGATCAGAGTGTGTTTGCTACACTTTATCTACACTGAGCCTCAAGCACCAGACCTGGCTGGCCTCCGATCTTTCAAAAGGCTTATCATCTAAAGATCGGGATCTTGATTGAGTCACTGCAATTATAAAGAACTGATGTAACCTTTAGTACCCCCTGTTTCCTAGCAATAATCATTTCTGTTCTGTTGTGTTTTATTCACCCTGACCTGAAATTACGTAATATGTTATTTTTATTTTTATTGGATTGAGGTTTTCCCAGCGTTTTTAGTGTAAATGTAAACCTCTGCCAGCCCCACAAATCATGTGAAACCCAGATTTGGCACAAAAAAGGGGGAATACACGTTTCGCAATTATGCCACATCAAGGTGGAACGCTCTTCCCACAACTGTAAAGGAAAGTAAAACTATACTTACCTTCAAAACCTCTCTTAAAGAGCACCTTCGGGGAGAGCATTGCAAAACTGGCCCCGGTAATGGTACAAATCTCAACCTGTCGTTCAATGGACAGCTTCCCCCCCCCCATCTATGTATATACTCGCATTTTAGACTCTGTTACTAACTGTATATCTGTAGACTTGGTATGTCTTAAATGTCCCGTTAGGATGTATTAGAACGAAATCTAAAATGAAAATTGTAAATAAGCAATCTGTATGTAAAAAACCACCTGTATGTAAATTGTAAATAAGCCATCTGTATGTCAAATATGTCTTATATGTCTTAAATGACATGATGAATTGGAAATGGGGGACCCTGATGTAAACAAGACGAAAGTCTTTCTCTGGTCTGCATCCCCTTAACAATTGTATGTTTTGAGCTGTACTGTACTGTACCCAATATACAAGCTGTTAATAAACTTTTCAATCAATCAATCAATCAATCAAACCCACTCAGGCCATCTATGGCTGCTTTATTAGGACCAGCACAAGTATTGATGTTTTTTTCTTACTGAAGCTTCCCCAGGCAAGATTTCTGCCTATTTTCATCCTTTCTACTTATTGGTTTTCTTGCCAAAAATAGTTTTCAGTATTCCCACGGACAGTATTTTAGTATTGTCAGTGTGGGAAAGCTTCTGTAATATGATGTACGACAGAGGAATCACCATCTGTGTATATTTATTAAGTCTTAAGAAGTATTTTTTTTAATAAATAGCTAGATAATAAAGTATTATTCAATTACATTCAGGGTACTTTAGCCTTATAGATATTTAGGATAAATACATCCTGTGTCAAAATCTGGTCTTTACGTCATCATCTTCTCAGGAATGGTGAGTCATTTCCAGGAATTTTTAGGAGTTGCACAATGCAACGTGTGAGAAAAGAGCGTGTAGAACTGTATGGTGTTTATTTGAGACATTAGTAAAGTTACTATACAAAAGTGACTGTATTAGGGGGCTTCTTGGCCACACTAAATATGAATGATGTATGTAATGTGTAAGATCAGCCAAATGTTTCTGAAACAGCGGATTGTTTGTATCGGAAGAAGCTTTACACCACAACCATGAGTATTTTGTAGGCCCTCTCCTTCTGAACGCCTTGCGTAGCTTAGCTTTCACAAGTTGCAGACTTCCAATTAAACCTTTTGTAATATTGTATCAATAATTTAAGTGTTTCAACTTTATGGTTTATAATCAGGAACTTCAGATTATGATCAAACAGCTTGTGAGAAATAGGGTGTGTCATGTTTAGAAGGCTATAGCTCTATATCCCAATGTTTCAGATCCATATTTATTAATCAGTTAAAGGGGCCCTATTAAGCTTTTTGGGGTTTTCCCTTTCCTGGAGTGTGTTAGGTTTGTGTGCATGTAAATGGTCTGCAAAGTCTAAAATCACAAAGTTCCGTCCAGAGGGTGTGTTTTCTCTCACACACAAATAAAGACCCTTTTGAACATTGAGGCATGTAAACATGTCACATTATAGGCTAAAAATACAATTGATGAACCTGAAAATGAACATGATAGGGCCCCTCCAGGACAAGAACATTGGAGGACTCGGATCGAGATATCCTTAGGGAATCTGTTGGGCAGCTGTGTGTACATTTTTAGAGTTAGCTTTTTCTTTTTTTTCTATATTGCCATGGCAATTCCATAAAAAACATCAAAGGTCAAACATTTTTAAAGCTTTTTTTCCATTCTCAGTAGTGCTGCTCTGTTTGTGATAAAAACCTGGGCCCCACACACACATACTGCCCCCTTAGGGCACAGGCAGCTCACACACAAACACATCTGGTCTCAGTCTGAGAAAAGCTCTGTTTATCCCTGCAAATGGACTCAGACTGACCAGTTTAGGTGTCCTCTCTGTGGGGGCTCCTCTTCATCAGTCCACTTTAAAGCGGCTGACATATCTACGAGCAGTGAGGCTCAGCAAGTCTTACGAGCATGTTCTTTTTTTGAGTGTGTATTCTGTGTTTTTACAATTTTACAAGAAGTTTACATTTAACTTGTATGTTTGATGTTCAATATAGGTTCAAGGAGAGACACTACAGGTGAATAGGATAAAGATACAGATATATATCACCATGAAACCAACCCAGTTGATTACTGTACTTACATTGAGACGATTATTAAGTATTATCATTGAGTTAAGTTCATTTCTTGTCATTGTACAGGTACAACAAAATCTAAATATATTTAAAATATGTTAAGCTTTATCTCATTAAATAAGTAACATTTCCATACATTCCCAAATCGGAAGACTGCAGGTTTTTAAGGAAGGAATTAACTTTGGATATCTCTTTGTATCACCCCATAAATAAGAAAATACTATCACTAGCCATTAAAAAAAATCACCATAGGCCTATGTTACGACAAAAATATGACTTTAATCAGGCAATGAATTATATAGGAACCCTCTGTAAAGGCTTTACGCATATACTGTAGATAGAGAGATAATGAAACTCGAAATGTGTATATATGTAAGTGCCACTAAAGTGGAGATTTTTGGATCACAATATGAGAAAAATGTATCAGATTGAGAAAACGGGGGTTACATATTGTAATCCTTATAAACACAGGCGGAGCCCTCTACTGGACTCTATGGGTACTAGTCTTTATTTTGTTAAAGTTTCAGCTATTCTGTTTACAGTTCTGTCATCAGATTATTTAATACGATTTGTTAAAACATTGTTGTTTCTTTTGATGTGAAATATTATTTATTTAATTTAAATAAAAAGCAATGTCAATTTTGTAAACAATTTGTTAAGTTAATTTAATAATATATGTATTTTTGAATCAAGTATTCATCTTTGTCTTCATTGGTAGTTTCCACATGCCTAAAACAACCTCAAGCTAAATCTAAAAGTTGATGGATAAATAAGAGCGCTTGAGAAATTGTGCAAGGCATACAGTAATAGTCCGAATAGTCGATTAATCGTTTCATTAATCGATAGATTAATCGATTATCAAATTAGTCGTTTGTTGCAGCCCTATTATCCCATGTATAAATAAAACGTGTTATTCAGCAACCCTTGCAATTTGGGATTTTATTTGTGGTTGGTAGACCTCGGTGAGCTGGTGGTCTCGAGTGAGGGAACAATGGAGATGGGCCGGAGCAGCGGGAGCGGTACTGCAGTCGCTTTACCGCACCGTTGTGACGAAAAGGGAGCTGAGCCAGAAGGCAAAGCTCTCTGTCTACCGGGCCATTTTCGTTCCTACCCTCACCTATGGTCATGAAGGATGGGTCATGACCGAAAGAACGAGATCGCGGATACAAGCGGCCGAGATGGGTTTTCTCCGCAGGGTGGCTGGTGTCTCCCTTAGGGATAAGGTGAGAAGTTCGGTCATCAGGGAGGGACTCGGAGTTGAACCGCTCCTCCTTCGCGTCGAAAGGAGCCAGTTGAGGTGGTTCGGGCACCTAGTTAGGATGCCACCCTAGGGTGGTGTTCCAGGCTGGGAGGAGACTGAGGGGTAGACCGAGGACCAGGCGGAGGGATTATATCTCTTCGCTGGTCTGGGAGCACCTTGGAATCCCCCAGTCAGAGCTGGATGATGTGGCCGGGGAAAGGGAAGTTTGGGGCTCTCTGCTGGAAGAGCTACTTCCGCGACCCGACCACGGATAAGTGGGAGAAGATGGATAGATGGAAAATGAACAATATAGATAAAACACTGTAGTCCTATGTTCCCAAATATAGTTAGATTCAGTATTTCTCAATAAGTGTGTTGCTGAAGTCTAACAAATGTGTTGAATATATTTACCTTCTCAGAGTTTCATTATTTATTTAATTCTTATACAATACAATACAACTTTATTTATAAATCACTTTAAACCTCCAGACCAAAGTGCTGTACAGGCAAATAGATAAAACAAAGCATACAAAAAAGTAACACAGCTCAGCTCACACACCATAAAACAAACAAAGTACAAGTAAAAACAAAAACAATTTAAATGCAAAAAAGCAACACTCTGAAAGATGTTGAAACACCAAATGTTAAAACGCTAAGGAGAAGAGGTGGGTTTTAAGAAGCGATTTAAAAGCAGGCAGTGTGGAGGCCTGTCTGATCTCCAGGGGCGGAGCGTTCCACAGTTTGGGAGCCGCTACAGAGAAGCAACGGTCCCCTCTGAGCTTTGACCTGGTTTTAGGCACATTCAGGAGCAGTTGGTCCGCTGACCTGAGAGGGCGGTTCGGCGTGTAATGCTGTAGCAGCTCAGCAAGGTATGGTGGGGTCATGCCATTTAGGGATTTAAAAGTAAATAAAATAATTTTAAAATGGATCCTAAAATAAATTGGCAGCCAGTGGAGAGAAGCTAAAACAGGGGAAATGTGGTTATACTTCCGTGTGCCAGTTAAGAGCCTTGCTGCAGCATTTTGCACCCGCTGCAGTCGTGCGAGGGAGGACCCACTGACCCCCATGTAGAGGGAGTTACAGTAGTCCAGCCGGGTGGTAACAAAGGCATGGATTACTGTCTCAAACTGCTGTCTGGAGAGAAAAGGTTTTACTCTGGCTAGCTGCCTCAGGTGATAAAAGCTTGTTTTTACCACCGACTTAATCTGACTCTCAAGTTTGAGTTCACGGTCCATTTTAATACCAAGGTTCGTAACGGTTTTAATCGTGTTTTATTTACATCCATGTTTGCTGTCCTTCAGTATTGGAGTATTTGCTTGCTGTGCTGCTTGTGTACAGAACTTTGCATGTGCATCAACAAGCGTTGCTCTATTAAACTACTGTACTACTACTATGCATGAACCCCTAAACTGTTGCATTTCCCCCTGTTTGATCATTCAATATTAAGTTTTTTTAGCATGAGCAAAATCTATGCAACAACAAAAACAAAACCTTCACCATAAAACATACACACACACACACACCAATCAAATGAGTCTCTGAAACAAACTGACGAGGTAGGAGGTTCGCCGTTACCGCTTCATCTGCTCACTCTTCCATGGCTGCTGCTCAGTATAGTCGGTTCTGCTCGATACACACACAAAGAAAAAAATCAGATTGTAAAAAAGTCTATAGGAAAATAATTGTACTTCTCACATAATTTATTACTTCAGGAAATATTTAACTGTTGTGATTATGGTCTCAATTATAGTTTAAAGTCTTCAATACAGAATGATGTTGGTTTCCTGTCTGATAATTAGCTGATCAGATTTGGCAATGTTGTGACATCACAACAGATGTTTGGGTTGTGCAACAGTTAGCCAATAACCAACCAAGGTAACACACGCCCACCTTATCACCTGAATCTCCTCTTAGAGCGCTATTATGTTTCTTTAACCAATCAATTCACAGAGGGGCGTGGCCAGCAGCAGCTCATTAGCATTTAAGCTACAGACACAGAATCAGCACTTTTGAAACAGGTCTGAAACAGAGGGGATTATGGCAAGAATGCATGATCTGTTTGGTACTTTGAGCCAAACAATTCAGAGACATGTTTTGTACAGTATATAACTGAGAACTATAATATAGTGTTGAAAAAGAGTATAATAGGGGACCTTTTAGGCATGGCTAACTTATGATTGACAGGTCGCTACCATGTCTGGTTTGGGTCTTTTCTGTGGTTTTGTCTAAACACATTAACCCTTTAAACAGTGGTAACAACACATGTTTTGTTATAAGATCATCCTACCTGTCGTGCTTTTCTTCTTGCTGTGGAGAAAATAAATGACAATCATTTTTTCAGGCATCAACAGTGGTGGAAAGAAATAGCCTGTCCTGCATTCATGTTTAAGTAAAAGTACAATAGTATGCAGAATGGTCCTTTTCAGAATAGTACATAATTATCACATTGATGGAATACGTTTATTGATGCGTTAATATGTTTATTCCTTTTGCCGCTAATAAAGGTAAGGCGGAGCTCATTTCAATGACTTTGTCTGAGGGACCCCACACTCACCTAAGTACAGGTAACACGGCACACACAGGGTGAGCAGCAGCGAGATGACAATGTAAAACATCCAGCCGGTTGGCTCTGAGGAGAAAACAGAAAACCAACATGACCTTTATATAAATGTATATACAGTCTATAGCGGTCAGACTTTACAACTACCACAAACCCTGGTAGACCCCACACACATATAACAACAAAGACTATCTAACTAACACTCCTGTTGTGCAATACTACTTATGTGCAATATATATATAGATAGATATATATACCGTAAATAGCTGTGCAATTTATACTACCATCTTTTATACTTTCACCTGGCTGCTATATCCCTTAACTGTTATTGGTACTGGATGTGTATCTTGTAAATTGTGTAATTTCTAGTTTTTTATCTTTATATTTTTTTTTATGCATGCTTCTTGAGAGATTTTAAGATATCTTTGGCTCTTTGCTGGAACAGGTGTACATTTCTCCTCTGTGGGACGAATAAAGGTATTCTGATGATAATAAACATGACTATTTTATTGGTTTTATATGTCCTACATATATTATGTAGCATTGTTGGAGGACTCTGGTACTTAAGATTGCCATTGCCATATCTATACTGTAGCTACTGTGCACATGACAATGAAGCCTTGAATTAAATATTGAATCTAGTGTTAGATATGCTCCTCTGCTGCTGTTCAGTGGTAGCTCACAGAACTGCAGTGTAATAGGTGTTACTCGTGTGTTACGGTCCTTTTGATGCTACATTATGGCAGAAGTCATAACAAATATTTTGGTCAATATTGACTGATTGAAAAATCGACATATTGTTAATTGAATTTGGTGAATAAGGTGGATTTTCTTGAATATATATTTATATACATACATTATTTATTTGAATATATATATATACACATGATGTGGAGATAAAATATATATACAAAACAATATGTATATGTTTGACAATGTACATATATGCACATATTTAAATAAATATATTGTATTTTGTTATGGATACAAAATATATATTTATTGAATAAAATAAATATATTTGTTGTTTTTTCATTAAAAAAGATATTTCTGGTGTAAGGGCACAACTGTAAAGAAAATGTGCGATACCCTGGATTAAAAACACAACTAAAATGAGTGTGAATAAAACAGAATGTGGCACAATGATCGTTATATCTGGATTATCTTCTTTTCAACATTTAATGGAAGCCAATATCATCATTACAAATAAACCTAATAAGCTTATTAACTCAGCCCTCCTCCACTCACCCTCCACAGTCAGGGTGAAGCTCTTTTTGATGGGCACCCTCAGGGACTTATGGGATACTCTGCATGTGAACTCCCTTCCTGAGTGCTTGAGTGCAGCCCGCAGGTAGAAGAAGGCCGTCAGCGAGTACGTCTTGTCGTTGTTGTGTTTGTGGCTGGACAGCAGAACGTTCTGGAGCTTCTCGGGGAGAGGAGGGCCCACCCTCTGACCCGCCACCGCCGGGTCCTGCATGTACCACTCGATCTCCACATCCAAAGGGTAGTAACTGTCTGCCTCACATGTCACCCTCTGCTCCCCGCCCTCCAGCAGCGTCAGAGTGGGTCCAACGTTGAGGGAGACCCTGGGAGCCTCTGAGGAGAGAATAAAGTCAGATCATCTCAGCAAAAGCGTTCCATTATGAATTTGACTCCAGCTGCCAATCTTGTGTGCAAAAGCAAGTATGTTTTAGGTGGTACAGTTACTTCAATAGAGTAGTGCAGGGATGACGTGATTTTATAGGCCGACTCGAAAGTTAGCATCGCAAGGGCTCCTTTGACAAAAAGCAATGGGATTTCCCTATTGGATTTAGGTGTATTGCATAAAATAAGATCTGAGGCAAATGCACGTTTATGATACTTAATACATTTTGTTTAGCAGAATAATCTTCATTATATTAAAGGTGGGGTAGGTCATTTTGGAGAAACCAGCTCGAGGGCGCTAGAATTTGAAAATACACGACACGCTTACAGAGCCCCTCCTCCAACACACACGAACGCGCACATGACCAATGAGGGCACGAGATAAGTTTGTGCACAGATGGAAGGCTGACAGGCAGGTAGGGCATCCAGTTATTTTAGTCGGGCCGGCTCATGATTGGTCGTGCTTTTTACAGCGCCACGGCTTCCACAGATGACATTTTTTTATGGATTTTTTGTCAAAGCACTTAAAGGAAGGCTCCAGTCATTAGATAGTTAATAAAAACTTCAGTATTTAGTGAAACATTATGTTTAAACCATACCCTGAAGAAATCAGCGATATTCCCCGGTAAATAATGATTTTATAGCTCTTTTTGATCAAAACCTGTATATTCCGTCAGGCAGCTGCCATTTTGGCCATTTTCAGTAGTCACATGATCCGAAAAACTAGGTTGTGACGTCATCTATGCGTTCACTTTGAAAACACACAAACAGCTCATTCGACAAAAACATGGCGGAGTATTTGAGTTTGGACTCGTCAGCCGAGGAAGAAGTTTTGAGCAATGTGGAGAGATTGGATGGGGGAATTCAGCCATACAGCCAAGTCAGGAGAACTGTCAGGAATCCAGGGACAGTGACGATGAGGATGAACAGCACGGTGATCTAGAGACGATCCCTTTACTCGTGCAATTGATTTCGGGGGGCGAGTAGGGAGACCTGTACATGAATGGTGTACTTGCGATCGGTGTGTAGCCATGGACAATCCTCTTATGAACGTATGTTGTCATGAGTTTGAAGAGCTTGAAAATAAACTGTTCACAGACGACTTGGATTACACAGGGAATTCGACACTGTGGTGTTAGAAAAAGTTGTATTGAGAACAGCACAGTCAAAGTGTCCGTTCAAAATCATTTCCGTTTAGCGCAATACCGCATCAGTTACGCAACTTGCGCCACTTATGTGACAGACAAAAGAGTATGTGACAGACAAGAATAGTCCATTCTAATGTCTAACACTTACGACCCGTCCACACAGCGACGTGCGTTGACGCTTGCCGGCGGGCGTGTCTGACACTCGACCAACAACCAATCACATGAATCTCCCGCCCCAGACACACAAGCACGCGGTTTGATTGGCTAGAGCTTGTACTGGCATATGATTTGATTGGCTGACGCCTCCGTCGAGGCGTCAAAAGTTGAACATTGCTCAACTTTTGAAGCGAGCAATGCCAGCAACGCCCCACGTCGCTTCCCAAAATGCAGTTCGGCTAAAAGTGACGTCACCCCATTCAAAGTGAATGGGCAGAAGCGTTGGAAGCTTCAATGCATGCCGCTGTGTGGACGGGCCGTTAATGTGGAGAAAGAGATGTCCTGTATGGGTTGATTGTGCGTTGATCTGTTGGTAATGCCTCGGGGTTCCGGTGGGCATGTAAACAAATGCATAATGCTGCGCTATACTTTGCGGCCTCACCCAGTTGCATAGCGACGCTTATTGTTTAGGTGTATTTTAATAAGCAGGTAGTCCTATCATTAGCTAGAAGAACTAGCTGGATCTGATCGATATGGAGCTCTGCATAATCACCTGCAGCGGTGAGCGGAACAAAACACACACTTCAGGTTAGAATATCACACATAGCTATTTTAATGACCTCTCAAACTACCTAAACTAGTTATAGATACGTTTAGTTTTACTGTCGGGTCACTCATTACTGATCCGCGAGCTGCATGATACTGACGGGCTGTCAGGAGAAGGAGAGAGCGCTCCGTTTATTATTCCCGCGTTATTATAAGTTACTGTACACTTTTGAATAGTTCATCTACTATGATTAGTTTGTTTAATATCGAATCATATCAATTTGTTTTAAAGCACAATAAATAACAAAGAAGACCTTTGACCGGCACTTTTCTCATTTTGTCCGGAAGATTTCAACTTTAACGGACATGTTGACCGACGAGAAAATATTCTAACGGGAACTCTGGCACATATGTCAATTTGTCCTCGACACCAAACGCATAGTTCACGTCACTTCCGGTCAAATAAGTCATGTGACTCGTCAAAATGGCGCCGCCCACAGGGTTGATGTTATTTCGGTAATTAATCAGCTTAAAATCACTGATAACGTCATCGGATAAAAAAAAAAAAAAAAGACTGGCAGAGACTGGTCTGTTTTATCGGATGATAATTATTTAAAAATGCGTGTCATGAGGATTGCCTCCCTTTAAGATATTCATTGCTATCGGGACGTTAAGAGCATTCCATGGAATATAACAAAAAGTGTATCTCGAGCCGGTTTCTCAAACTTACCTACCCCACCTTTAACACCAATTTGTGATTTTTGAAGCATAAAGCAATCGCCAGAAGTAAAAAGCTAACGTCATGCTATTCACAAACTACTGTACATCAGGGTCGCATGGCTGCACATCACCACCGCTAAGCTAAAGGAGGACTCGGGTCAGCGTGATGATGTTTAGTAGTCTCATTTAGTCACTGATTAGCAACCGCCGTTTTCAAGACACATAGCTTTCATAATTCATGAGTTGAGTATTTTATTTTCTGAAGTATTTTATGTTTTAGAACATAACTGGAAAATATTGTAAGCTAGCCAAAACCTTATGTGATGTTTCTAACTACAAAGTAACACAATAAAAACGTTGACTTCGAGAGGATAAATCGGGTTTTAGGACTCATTCTTGCACCACTGAATTCAGTGTCAATACCATGTTTGTACATTTAATATAAACTGGTGTGAATACAACTGTTAGCTTAGCACATCACTTGAAACAGCTAGCCTAGAAGAAACATACAAGCAAAGCAGGCAGCACAGGTATTTCATTGTAACTTAGTTTTGTCTGTCACTGTAAATCCCCTCTCTTCTTAAGTCATTGTCACATTGTTTTTATTATTATATATATTATTTATCCCTGTGACAAAAACAGTCCAAAACAGGCTTCCCTACCAATTACTACGGTGACGTCAGTGCTTTCAATGAAAAGTTTAAATATTTGACACTCGAAGCGCTCGGAAGGGACACACAAAAAAAGTGAAGCACTCGGTGGCCGCTACCGACGGCATGGATTGGAATCATTGAATCATCATTGGAATCAATTTTAAAAGAATGCTGGCAAGTTGCAAGTTTTCTTATTTCTGAAACAGATACTCTTTAACTATGAAAGGTAACTCACATTATTAATAGCCCAGAAATGTCAGTCTGGTCTGATCCTCTCTTTGACTCTTCCTTACCTTCGATTTGCAGAACAATATCCGTACTGACGAGCAGTGGAAGCACGGACACTGAACAGATGTACGTCCCTTCACTGCTCAACTTGGTGAAGGGAAGGGTATAGGAAGCGTCCCCGTCTGCCAGGCTCCTATGTAGGACCCCGGACCCCTTGCTCTGTACTGAGCGGCTGCTGTGACTGAAGAGGCTGGTTCTCTCTCCACGTTGCTGCAGGAGCCACTCCACATCGAAGTTTGGTCCATGGTGGTCGACAGCAAACTGGCAGTGGAGCTTCTGTTTGGAGCCCAGGCCTGCTCTCACTGATGGAGTTAGTGTTTTCATTACCATGGCAGCTATGGACACGGAAGAGACAAGACACAGGCACACAGAGACACACTTAGTTCTTAAACATGAAAACTGGCCAGAACTACATTTCAATATGGAACTGACCTTAAATTAGGAGTTAAAAGTGTTATAACTTGCGTATCTTCAAGGTAACAAAATAATCAAAAAACTAAGATAATGTTTGATGATTTGGAGTAAATGGGGACAACGTTTAACTTCAGCAAAACCTTATCAACACAGTACTAATCCTGGAGTTCACTGCAATAATTCTTTAGAGTAATTTTGAATTAATTAATTGCGGCCCCCGTTCACTTCCACTCACAAGACTTTTTCTCTGATTGTGGATTCGCTTTTACCGAGAAGACATGCAATAAGAACAACATTTCCCTAAGGATTTGAAGGTAACAATAATAATTAATATCTGTGTATGTGCCTCTACTGTGACATGTTTACATGCTTTAATGTTCAGAAAGCTCTTGATTTTTCTCATTCTGCCTGTGCTTCAACACCTCTTTTCACCCTCTTTCTGAAACCAGAGCCCAGCATCCTCTGATTGGTTAGCTGGCATGCTCTGTTGCGATTGGTCAACCGCTTAAATATGTCCCGTCCCTTAGCTTATCACGTGCATGTGTTGTAGTGCTAGCCTATAGAAATGTTGCGGGTAAAGTTTTTCTTTAACTGTGTGAAAACTCCACCTTTTGAGTGGTTGCTAACATGACGTTTCGATCTCATAAGATCCATGAGAGTGTCCTATAAACATCATTACCATGATGACAAACTTGATGAATAAAGTTGTACCAAAACTTTCACTTGTGAATTTACAATACAAGGTTGTATCCCAAAATGATTGAATAGAAATAAATGTGTTGAGTGTTACTTGTTGTGACGAGCATCTCTCTGTCCCCGATGGGAGTCCAGCTGTTGTAGTCCTGCTGTCCCGGGGCTGCTGTGTCCGATGGGTGTCTGAGGAAGCCTGTAATTCTGAACAGGCCGTTGGTGTGTTTCAGGGTGCAGATGAACCAGTGGTTGTACTCCCGGGCCCCCAGCACTGGCCAGCGAACATGGATGCCCGCTGTGCTGTACCTACGCAGCTCACACTCCAACTGCTCCGCCTCCACTCCCTCCAAGTATCGCCGCAGGTCCAATTTAGAGACTACAACACAAAAGATTACATTAGAAAACAATAGATGTTAGTCTGTAACTCAATCGGCTGCAGGTCTTACCAGTAATCAGGAAAGTGATTCCATGTGGATTAACAGCAGCATCTCCTTTTAGACCAAACTGCAGCAGGGCCTCTCTGTGGATGAGCTGAGTGTCCGTGTGACCCTCTTCATTCTTAAACACGTGTTCATCAGTGAACTGACAGGGCAGCCATGACACCTGATGGACACACTGCACACCTGAGAGACACAGAGGGAGTCAGTGTAGTTTACAAACATATAGTACAGTATAATGTAGTGATATACTCAGGCTTGGGGAGTAAAGAATTTCATGTACCAGGATTCACGACACAAAACAAAAAAGGGTTACAATGTTACCTTAAATGTTTTAAATGAAGAAACAATATATTGTTTTTTACACTTCAAAATTATTAGAACACCAAGAGGTGAACGTCTCGATAGAGCCTAACTGTATGTATTAAACAAAATCAAAGCATTTCTTATTTGCTAAGGTTTTTATTCATGCCTTTTAAACTGTAGTATGTGTTCATGTGTTTCATTGTTTGTCTATGAATTTGTTGGAGGAAAGCTTTAAAGAATCGCTGTGCAGAGGACATATTTTTTTTAATCAAAGTATCTTGGTTTCTTCCTTTTTAAGTTGACATTGTTCTGTTGTCTTACATAATACATTTGCACAAAGCCAATCTATTGTGTTTTTCTTTTCTCGTCTTTATATGCATTGCGATTGATATTAAAGTACTCCAAAAAGTATGTTTTATTGCGATCCGTAGATTAGGGTACATATACCGGTATATCTATTTTTTTATAGGTAACTAGTAATTGTAACGGGATTACAATTTGAAAGTGACCCTCCCAACCCTGGATATACTACCGTATTACAGAGATTTGAGTAGGCCTACAGTATATTGCAAAATAACAAAATAAAATACAGTGTAGTTGTATGATTCAGGCTACTAAATATGGTGCCTCTTGCATAGTATATTACAGCACAGTTTTGTATGGTGTTTAAATCGTATACACTAGTATATTTAATTCTAGAACAGTACAATATAATACACTATAATGCAGAGTAGTATAGTGTAGCACAGTATAGTATAGTATAACACATTTAACTATTGTACAGTGTTCAACAGTAGAGTGCAGTATAGTGTATTTTTATCGAGTGACCTACAATTTGTGCCATAACCATGACGATACAAACTCAGAACAGACAGAAAGTATATTCACTTGGGCTAAACGATTTTAGGTACTTTTTCCGGGGTCTAAAAGTCAGATGTATATAGAAGTTAAAATGCTAAGTCATTTGTCTAAATTTAACTGAAATTTGCTCACCACACCTCCCAGCTTGCAAATTGCCCTCAACTGAAACAACTGCCTCTCTGAAGAACCAGCACCTTACCGTGGTGGAGAGGTTTGTGTGCCCTGATTAACCTGGGGGCTGTGATGTCTGGCACCTTGTGTTCCTGGTAGGGTCTCCCATGGCAAATTGGTCTCAGGCAAGGGGCCAGACTAAGATTGGTTCAAAAGACCTCATGAAAGAAGACACAAGGAGTGAGGATGCCCGGCCCGGAGGAAGCCCGGGGTCCCCTTCTGGAGCCAGGCCCAGAAGGAGGACTCGTCGGCGAGCGTCTGGTGGCCGGGCTTGCCACAGAGCATGGCACAGCCCGAAAAGGCAACACCTCCGCTTCTCCGTCCCACGGGAAACAGCGATGGGGTCGGGTGCGCTGCCAGAAGGGTGGCAGTGAAAGCCAACGGAAGGAGCCCGAGCTTGTGCGGGAGGTGGAGCGTTACCAGTTGGATCTGGTTGGGCTCACCTCTACGCAGAGCGTCGGCTCTGGAACCTTACTTCTGGATATGGGTTGGACTCTATTCTTCTCCAAAGTTGCCCAAGTTGTGAGGATACTCACAATCTCCCGGTTGGGTGCTTCTTTGTTGGAGTTTACCCCATCGAGAGGGTCGCCTCCCCTGCGGGTTATGGGGGGGAAAACTCTGACTGTTGTGTGTGCTTATGCACCCAACAGCAGTTCAGAGTATTCGGCCTTCTTGGAGACCCTGGAAAGAGTCCTGTATGGGGCTCCTGAAGGGGACTCTTTAATCTTAATGGGAGACTTCAACGCACATGTGGGCAATGATGGAGACACATGGAGGGGCGTGATTGGGAGGAACGGCCGCCCTGATCTGAACCGGAGTGGTGGTTTGTTACTGGACTTCTGTGCTATGGATTGGCCATAACAAACACCATGTTCGAACATAAGGATGCTCATAAGTGTACGTGGTACCAGAGCACCCTAGGCAGAAGGTCCATGATCGATTTCGTTATCGTATCATCGGACCTGAGGCCGTATGTTTTGGACACTCGGGTAAAGAGAGGGGCGGAGTTGTCAACTGATCACTATCTGGTGGTGAATTGGGTCGAGTGGCGGGGGAAGCCTCTGGACAGACCTGGTTCGGGCACCTAGTAAGGATGCCACCTGGGCGCCTCCCTAGGGAGGTGTTCCGGGCACGTCCAGCTGGGAAGAGACCGAGGGGTAGACCTAGGACCAGGTGGAGGGATTATATCTCTTCGCTGGCCTGGGAGCGCCTTGGGATCCCCCAGTCAGAGCTGGTTGATGTGGCCAGGGAAAGGAAAGTTTGGGGCTCTCTGCTGGAACTGCTACCTCCGCGTCTCGACCACGGATAAGCAGGAGAAGATGGATGGATGGATAGATGAAACAAATGCCTGTTAACAGGTTTAACTAGGGATTTTTAGTGCTTGCTGTCCAAAACACCCAAACTAAAGTTCAAAATGGAAAGCTTGAAATTAGGTTTAACCTTAGCAGAATTGGCAACAATTCACAACAACAGAGTTCAACAGAAGAATGCTTTTGAAGCTATACACGTATTTCAGGCAGTCAAAAAGTCAGATTTCTCCAGAAGTCAAAATATACTATACTGGTAGTGGGTAGTTGACAAATAAGGGTGACACAGTATTTTTTAAAACAAAGTTCTAATGAGGATTACAATTGTATGAAATCCTAATGATCAAATGCTGAAGTCTTTTAAACTGCTAGTGTTCTGTGGATTTTTTGTATAATTTCATTATTTTTTAAGCTTTTATAATAGCTTCAGCCACAATGTGTCCTGCGGTGTGAAATGTCACTATGATAACATTTAAATATTTAACTATTATTAATTTAAAGTACAAATCAGGTATGTTTAAAGTTTAAGAAGTACTCTTTCAGAAGGATCATTACAATTCTGCATATGATTATTTTTCACAGCTGTTTTTTTATTCGATTATTCACATGTGCCATCTTTTATCACTCACTCTAGTGGAAATATACTGAAACATGAAAAAAACCCTGATGAAAATATCTGCTTTCTTTTTGATAGTTAAATTGTGCAATGTTTTCACATGCACATAATAATTAAAGTTAGTTAACATTAGGAAAAGTGATGTCAAACCACAGGACATGCTCAGGACGAGATGAGACGTATGGACATTGTATGATTTGTCAAATGTATTAAGTGCTTTTTTAACAAACAAATCAATTGCCATTTTAACTTAACATTTAACAAAATGTAAATAAAATATTGTTTCTTAGAGAATGAATTGTAACTAGAGTAGAAGAATGTATAGCAGTTTAGTTAACTGTTAGTATTATATATTAGTCATGTGTAATATGGTAAAATACAATTAGTAGGCTACAGTACAGTACTTCGTAGTAGTATAGTAATTTCATTCATGTTTTATGGGCTAATTAACAAGCCAAAATATGTTAAAAAAAGCGAAAGAAAATAACTTACCTGCACAAAGATACAAGAAACTCAATATCTTTAAGATTAAATACATGATTATTTATTCGTAGAAATATCTACTTGCTGCTCGAGCACAACAACGACTTCTCTATAGTACAAATATACTTTCACTTTCATTTCACTGTAATATAACTTGCTTTGCCTGCGGCCTGCCTCCCACATCACGTGTTAGGCAGATTGAATATCACTGACGACGAATGTTGCATGTTTGTTTTTCAATTTTGCCCCAAAACAAAAAAACGGAAATTCAGCTGGTGTTTTCGTTTTTCTGTTCTTACTGTTAAAACCATACATTTATGGTTAAAACAAGTATACCACTCAATGTTTCGATTCGTTTCCATATAAGGGTGGGTCTCCAGTGCCTCCTTGCTTCTGATTGGCTAGTTTGCGCTGTACTCTTCAAAATAAAGGTTCATAATATTTGCCTTTAGATATGGCGTGTTAACACAAATATATTGAATATATGCCTACATGCAAAACATACAGAAGACAGTCTGCCCGTGTGTGTGTGTGTGTGTGTGTGTGTGTGTGTGTGTGTGTGTGTGTGTGTGTGTGTGTGTGTGTGTGTGTGTGTGTGTGTGTGTCTGTCTGTCTGTCTGTCTTTGTGTCTGTCTGTCTGTCTGTCGCACGATCTGTCTATCTGCATGTCTGTCTTGCACTGTCAGCCATGATCTTATAAAGTATGAGTATAGTTTGATGTTACTGTTGAATTGACACTGCGGTCGTATTTCCCGTTCTCGAGCTGGGTTTTTTCTTCAAAACTTTATTAAAACAGCTTGGAGGTTGAGGATTGATATACTATTTAGAGTACTTTTATTGTGTGTTTTTTGAGTGATCCTCAGTCAAACTCTCCTCCTGAGTACAATAATGCATGTTTTCTACTATCTTTGATGAGGGATAACATATGTTTTGCCAGAAGTTCTTAATGAGGTTGATATTGTTGGACTCAGTAGCCTACTAATCAAACTACACCCACAAGTAATATGAAGTAGCCTATACTTTTACAGTGTAATTTGTGAGTAATCCTCTGTCAAAGTCACCTCCTGGGTACAATAATGCACGTTTTCTGCTATATTTAATAAGCGTAAGAGCAAAATGTCTTCACAATACTGATATTGTTGGACAGTGTATTTTAAGAGGATATGGTAGACATGATATCCAGTAGCGTGGCGTGGGGAAAAATGTAGGGGAAGCCCATTTTTTGGGTCGGGGGGTGGTCAATAACGTAACCAGATGAGTGATTACAGCGCCCGGTATCATTTTACACACATTGGTATCACACAGATGCAGGACTTGCACACGCCTGTTATCTAACCGACAGGTCCGCACGCGCTCTCCAGCTGAAACTCTCTCCTTATTAATTTAAGCATTTTACTTATTAATGTATGCAGACAATCACACAATCTATGTGATTTTTGGATTTACCGTGCCTCTCAATTGCCCGTGACAGGTTGGCAAGGTCGATGAATCCTGAAGTTGCCCAAGGATTGTTCAGGGAGCACGAATCCTTGTCAAAAAGAAGACATGGCCAGCAAATTAGACGCTGAAGTTTAGCGCTTCCAGTTAGCCACTCCGTGCGGACATAATTGTCCTCATTGAACGTCCGATTCTCTCCCTTTTCCTCTGCGTACACACAGCTCGAGTGCGGGCATTGGCCTGTCATCTGATTTAATTTGTAGTTGCTGCTGTAGCGGAAGTTTAGTAAAGTTATGTTTGATTAAGTACGCCAAATCTCCACCCTCCATAATACTTCATTTGCTTGATAATTTCTAACGGCGGTGATGACAGTTACAGTATTAAAACTGATGTTGATGTGATTTGATTGGATGGCAGTGTCCAATCAAATCGCCAGCCGCCAGCCGCCTCTGAAGGGAAGCAAGAGGCGGCTAGCTTCCCTTGGCATGGCCCTGACCAATCACAGGTTGGCAGGGGCATCACGTGGGCCTCATCTGATTGGTCAATCCCTCCATTTTTTTTCACCAAGGGAAGCTAGATTCGGCTGGCCTCCTCTCGCAACAGTGAGTGCAATCTACTGTTTCACCATAACATCTAGAGGGGCGCTGTTTGTTTCACTCTTTGTAAAATACTCAATGAGAATGGGGGAGAGCCGGGCCGGCAGCAACACACAGCAAAGGAGAATTATCGAAACAAAACAAAGTGTTTTTATTTATTTATTTAAATTATAACTACAATCCGAAAAAACAGGGGAAGCCTGGCTTCCCTTGGCCTCCGGGAGAAAACGCCACTGATGATATCAATACTATAGTTCCAGTCATTACTCCAGCAGCATTTTTACCTCTTGAAAGTCTAGCCTGGATAGCTGGTCTATCCTCCAGCAAAGTGACACACTCTGTCACTCTGGTTGGCCTCTTATGATGCTGTTGTCGTGAGTAAGCCCTCAATGTAATGGCCCACTTGCTGGCACCCAGCGCCATATATGCCGCGTTTCCACTGCAGCGGGTAGCTTGCTTTAAGCGTGCCGAGCCGTGCGGGGCCCGTTTTTGGTTGCGTTTCCACTTGGCCTAGTACCGGCTAGCGGGTCATAATTCACAGTTTTTCTGGCCCCATAAAATCGTGGTTCTAGGGCCAGGAACATCCAGGCTGGGTCGGGCTGAGTATGCTAAACCAGAGAGAGAATCGCTGGCAAGGGGGCTACAACTACAACAAGATGAACATATTTGACCGTGATTTAATTGTAATACACGTTTCAAAATGATGCCGAAGTAACAACATATTGATACCGGTTAGTAAAAACCATGAATTAATGCTTTGACAAGTCTGCAGACAGACGGCAGGCGAAAAACCCTTTTAAAATGCGTGTTTTCTAAATGGAGCTTGGCTAAGCTAACGTATTATATGCTCCGACCGTCCACACTCACAACAACGGCCTATACAGACATAAATAAACCAGCGACTGTATTCGCCATGACACAGGCAGTCTGTGGTTTGAACTTGTTTAATTTTTGTCTAGTTTCTGAACAGATATGAAGAGCTATGAGCTCTGAGTGCTAAGAGCTAACGACGGCTGTGTTGTTTTTCTGGGGCTCTCATTGAAGATGACGTCACGGCTCCGCCTACACTGCGTTACTATAGTAACTACCCCAGTTCCTAAACTGTAACGGACAGTGTTGCCAACTCCAGAGCCCTAGAGAGATAAGAGTTACGACACTCCCATAGACCTCCGTTGTAAAAAATGGCGGCGCCTACTTCCGGGGTAAGGACATCGAAATAGTTCAAAATATTGTCATTTGGGCGTTGAACCTCATTCACTTACATTACGGCGCGTCGATTAGTTCCAGAGGTAAGTTGCTGAAATATCGAACTCTTTTGAATTGTCAACTGTCTATATTGTATCAGAGGCCCTTTATGATGCGTATACTGGTCTTCATTTGTATATGCACAGCGTAATTATCTATATTTTATCTTGGTTGTTACAACCAATTTAGCTAGCATTGCCTGCTAGTTAGCTAGCGCGACTTCGTCAGCTTTGAAGGTAAGATTTCAGTAATGAATCGCTAGCAGCTTATATATCAATGATGCTGGGTAACTAACAAGCAGGATTTAGATTGATTATGTGTTTTTATTGTTATTTTGGTTTTTATCCGCTGAACCTGACCGTGTTAGCCATCCTTAGTCGGCTTTTTCTGTATGATATGACTTAACTGCTAGCACTAGTAGAAATTAGGTGGCGTTTGTGATAAATATTTCATTGAATTTTGGGATATACTAACATTTATTTATGTGACATGTTGACTGTACTTTGTTTTTTTTGGTACTGTTCCGTGTTAACTCATCTGTACTGTACAACTAGCCTAGCGCTACTTTTTAATGCTTGATGGCATGCTAGGATAGATTCCTTTGTATTGTAATATACACACTAGTTTAATGATTGTTCTTCAAAGGTATTATTCAGTCTTAAACAAATAATAGCCTACTGAATAGGCTACTCTACAGCAGTGAATGAAGGATGAACCTTTTAGCAACTATACTACGGACGTGACTGCCCTGGCAGTGACAGCAACATAGCCTGCTTGTGATACCACACTTTCCCCTCAACATATCGTTAAATAACGAAACTTATAAATAGTGCCAACCCATACAAAGTGTAACCACATCATGTAAATATGAAAGCAATCTTTAAAAAATAACAGCGTTGGTTTAATCTATGACTATTTTGACCATGTTTGTGCTGTTTTTGCCATAGAGAAGCATTGCAACGGAAGTGCGTTTTGAACTATCCCGGCATACATAAACCACGTGACCGGCTGGCGGCGACATCAAAGAGTGTCGTAACTCTTATCTCTCTAGGGCTCTGGCCAACTCCATAGTAAGGAAAGTAGCTATTGGCTGTCCGGAAAGTCACCAGAAGTCGCTAAATGACGTCATCGCCTAATTTGCATATCATGTAATGGCGGCTGTAGGAGAGAGCACGGTAGAGGGCAGAGGGGAGTACAAAAAACGTTCCCAACCCTTCAAGGATCAAATTCTGGACTTCTCCAGGAAAGCATCATGATGTTTAGCTTGTCACAGAGATGTTTAGCTTGTCACAGAGAGGCACACACACAGTAGACGAGGTGATTGAGTGACTGAGGCTGTGTGAGGCAAAGCAAAGCAAAGGCAGTTATTTATTATAGTGTGAAAGTGAGTGAAGAAACATTTACATTTTACATTTAAATCCCGCTCAAAACCAGGACGGCTTGGCAGTTGGCGCATGCGCAATTCATTTGCAGTCTCGACGCGGGGGAGTGTGGTTGTCTCCTCTCGGCTCTGACTGCAGCAGCAGCTCTGCTGCGGCCAGGCAACTGTCAGTCTGAGCCATAGACTGTATATATAAATGGACGTAGGGTCCGTGACGTCACCCATAGGATTCTGCAGAGTTGCCGTGAAGCCCTTAGTAGGCGGAGTCGGCCACTAACGGCTCGACGGTGTCGTCAGAGTCTAACTCCCGCCTTCTCCAAATAAGGGCAAATAGGCGGAGCTGAGGCGGAGCCGAGGCGGGACAGGGCGGGACCTGCTGCCAACGAGCGTGACGTTCGAGTCCTAGCTCAGGCTAAGAAGCTAAGCTAACATGCTCTCAGTATCAATCGAATGTAAAACATGA